GAACACCAAAAAAAGCTCAGAAATGAATCTTAATGTACGCTTCGTGGAGGAAGTGAAGGAAGGACTCCAAATGTTTGACAGGATTTACAGGTTCCATGGCTTCATTAACACATTGACTCACAGGTCCCACATGGTGATCTGTCTTGTTTGGGATTTATTAGAAGGTGGCTACATCTTGGTTTCACTCCCTGCTGATTGGTTTGCTGAGGTTTCAGATCATCATCTCTCTGCTTCATTGCTATCAGTTGGGTAATGCTGAAGAATAATGAATCACATTGATCTTTTTCTTATCCAAAGATATATGTGAGTTTAGATTTACTGGTGTAACGGAGAATTTGTTCACTTAAACCTCAATTTTTGTTTTTTTTCACAGCAAGTTAGAACAATAACTGTATATTTGATTTATGGCTCTCTTCTTCCTTATCTCCGGTATTTAATTTCTTATAATAAGAGAGATAAGAATGTAGATCACAGGTTTCTGAGTACATCCTGAAAACCTTAAGCACCACAGCTTTCATTCTAGAGGCTCAATTTCAGTTTCTGCTTTACCTTAATCTCTTTATTCAAAATCTTTTATAGATGTTGACATACGCCTATCTGTCTACAGTTCTCTCAGGAAGAACTAACATTTGAACATCTGAGCTACTGAAATTCTACCTCTTTCAGATAGAAGATTGTATGCTATTACATGTTTGCTATTTACATAATGCAAAACCAGGTCTATACTAACTCAAAATCATTCCATACTGAATACTTATTGGATGTCTGTGTATCTCATTTTTCTCTGATTAGATAAAATTCCACTTTAAAAATAAAATCATCCTGTATTTTAACAAGCAGGTAGTAAATCAGAGGTAATGCAAATACAAGAGGTTATGACCAGGCAAGCCAAACAGTGGATTTACAGTGCCATGGTGACAATTGTGCATAGTTTGAATGAATGCACATAGTTTGAGCCCTCTTGTAAATGTGAGATAACTTACCTGTCTCTTCCAGATGACTGAACTGTCCCACAGTTTCTGTGGATAGGCATATGCACTCATGCAATTCCTGTGGAAGAGCAGACATTGTAAATTTATCTGTGTGTTACCCAGCGCACTGGTACTTGGAATTTTCCATACTGGAACAGTATCAGTTTCCATAATAGTATCCGAACTGAAGTATAAGATGGAATGGTAGGTCTGAGATGGTGCTAACCTGACAGGATGCTGTAGTGTGCGAACATACATCAGCAGTGTGAGGTTTAACAGCATCTCTACAGGTTTACTAGAGTGCTTTGGCAAGGAGGTTTGTACACAAAAATACAAGCTTTCTTTGTCAATCTCTTCTGCTTGATAACTTTGCCACTGCAAGAATATATGGCATTCACTGTGGCAACAAATAGTGTGAAAAATGAGGTGCTATTGGGAAGAAAGGATTAATTAAATGATCATGTCTGGCTTAATGTAAAATTAAAACACACACATGAAGACAAAGTAACAAGAGGCATATTAATACACATAAATGCAGGAGTTTCCCTTTTAACAGGGATGTCTTTACATTTCTACCATAGGAAGCAGTCAGTCATTAATGAGTGTTGAATGTGTTCCTACACACATAAATACAGTGAATGGTATTAGATAGACTTCATCTGGTGTCATTTAGACTACATCAGATTCATTCTGATCCCAATTAAAGAACACATAAATTGTTCTTCATTTTAAAATAATTTCTAGGAGCAACTAGCTGCAATTCACCTTAATGAAACAATGCAGTGATAAGGAATAAAATCCATAAAGTGAGAGGGACACTTGATTCCTTCCCAGCACTTTCTCAACATGAAGTACTGATGATTTTTCCAAGCTGTGTGTCTTTCAAAAGGCTTAAGGTGTGCTACTTCTTTTATCCCCAGCAGACATCTAGGGAAGAGTCTCCACATATTCATAATTAAGGAACTGGGCATAAGACCCAGTATATAGAGAGAAGATAAAATGCAGGAATGCAGTAACCTAATAAATATGAAGTCAACCATAATATAGACAATTACCTTCTCCTTTACCTTAGAAAGTCTCAGTCAAGCAATGAGTTTTATTTTGTTACCCCAAATATGAAGCTGGATGCAATAATGCAAGTCCTCAGATCATGTTACAGACCAAAGATTTGTTCTGGTTTTTACTTTCTCTCCTTCATATTTTTTTCCCTGGTGGGGAGAGGGAGATGAGGTAAGCACTAGATTTATGCAGGGTACAGCATAGATAGTTTTGTTTAGCAAAATAAAAATAAATCACAACTATTTTCTGACTATACCTCTTTTTCTATCAGAACAAATTTCAGATTGCCTGCAGTTGTTTCACAAGGTTTTCTGTGACATCAGACCTAATCACAACCTATTCTGCTACTTAAAAATATGGGACCCTGGCAACACGGCTTCATCTCTCCAATTACAGGGCAACAACGCAACTGCATGCTATTGCATTTGGATTTGTCAGAATAAATAATTAAGAGGCTCATCAGCTTCTCCCTAATGAACAAGGAAATGTGATTAAGCAACTTTAAGAGAGAATGGCTGAAGACAATATAGAAATGATAGCAGGATGATTGCTGTGAATGAGAGACTGAAATTTCTGCATAAGAGGTTTCTTCAACAAGACACAAGGACAGTAGTTTAATCTTCCATTAAAAGATTCCTGCCAATTTGGAAAAGCTCTGAATCAGGAGATTACAGACGTCTCAGAAGCTGACAAGGCAGTCAATTCTCTTAAGACAACTTCTTTCTGGCAAATGCTGAGAAATAACTTTTTTCTTTTTTTTTTTTTTTTTACTATTTCAAGACTCTCAACTTCTACCAAACAATGACTAGGATATCTCTGACTAGCTAATATTTTATTCTCAAAGACTGAAAATACAAATTGTATTTCAGACCAAAATGTTCTGGAGATGCTTGCCAAGTTTACTGTGGCTAACATCTAGAAATTTTACTGATTAGCTTCTGGCAACATTCCTTGAAAGTGCTTTGTGTGTTAGTATCTCATTAAATATCTTATTCCTCTTTATTATTCTGTAGTGCCAAAAAATGTACTTCTACCTTTTATCTAATCTATTCTGTGCTTTTACTGTCTGCTCTCCTAGCTTATCTAAAGGAGATAGCACGTAATATAGAAACTTGAAGCAAAGTGAAATAAGAGAAGTTGCTGTAATTCTTCTATATGTCAGAAGAAATATACCCTATTTTTTTCCTTTATAGATATTAATAAATGACACAGTCTTTTTATGAGTAAAAACACAAAAGTCAACAAGCAGATTACAAGATTTCTGTCCAAGGGTGCTTATATCAGACTGTAGAAGTTTCCAGATACTCAGATGTAAAAATGGTATGCACAGAAGTGAGTGTGAGATTCATAGTTATGCAGTTAAAAAAAAAAAAAGTTAAGGAAAATGTCAAACATCTTTTTAGTTACAGAAATGCTCATGTACCTCAAATAAGATACTTAACATTACAGAAAATACTCTGGGTCTAAAACCCAGGCAGAAAAATACTGTTCTACTTCAAGAGGCCTTTGAGGAAATAATTATTTCCTTTTTTTTCCACATGATGTAAGCCCACCATAGTGCTATGCATAGTATGCATAATAGAAACTACTTTGGATTTTCAGCCAAAACTCAAGCTTGTCTTCAGTGAAGGTTTGATTGGGCTTAAACAATTGTCAGCCTTCAGGTATTTCTCTGTCTTTCTTACAATACTCTGAGACCATACTGTTATCTTGTAATTGTCTTCCATAAAGATACAAATTTATAGGTTTTCAGTTTCTAATTTGAAGATTACTTGTACTTTTCTTGTTCCATGTCATAAATTACTGTTTCAATAGGGTTAGGGTTATTTCTTTTCTCATACCATATTAATTGTCATGCCCAGTTACTTGTCTCTTGTCAGCAGTTTATCTCAGTGAGTATCACAGCCTACGTCTTCATCTCAGACTACATATGTTCTCCTTTGGCTGAAATGGCTGGGTTTGTATCTGAAGCTTATGTTCTAGCTTCCTGCAGAGAATCAAAATATCCCCCATGCCATGGGTGACCATGGTATATCATCCTGTGGAATATCCACTGAGCACAAGAATGAGAACCCATTTCAGTAGGGACATCTAACAAAGACACAACCTCCTCTCAGAAAGCAGAGATGTAGAAGAGGTCTCCATCTGTCAGGAAATCTCTGCAGTTCTCATGTCAAAACTCCCCAGTTACAAAAAAAAAAAAAAAAAAAAAAAAAAAAAA